GATTTTTAATTCTTATTTGGCTTAGCCAAATGACTTGAAAATTTACAGGCATGTACCTCACGTCATAGAGAACTCACAAACAAAAATTCAGAAAAAAATAATTATTTTTAGGCCCTGAAATAATTTTTGGCGGGGGCCGAACGCCGTCGGGTTCGGACCCCGTACGGGACCCCGAACGCCCGTACGCACGGAGGTCTGTCCGGGGACCTTCGTACGTACGGGCTGGTGACCCTGGTTGTACATTTATTTCTGAATGGGGAGGATGATTAAAATAAGGGTCACGTCAAAATTCTTCACCAACAAAAAAACCTCCAAAATATCTGGAAAAAACTATGTTATGCAGAAAAATAAACTGAACAACTTTTGCCTCAGGGTCACATCAAAATTCTTCACCAATATATATATATATATATCGTCAAATAGAACTGCCCGGTAAACCGTAGGCAGAGAGGGAGAAGAGGACAACAAACGAGGGGCTGTGACAAACTGTTTCGTCGGAGTTTCACCGACTCATCAGGAGGCTGATATATATATATAGGGCCACTCTCTGGTAGCCTATTATTGTTCTGATTATTTTTGAAAAATCAAAATTGCGAAAAATTCGAATACAACATATGTATGTTCTATTTGAATATAACATACGTACACTATATTCAAACGTACATTTCTATTCAGGAAAAAATAAGCGATTTCTGAAAACCTGATTTCCAGAGGTAGTTCGAATAGAATGTACGTACTATGTAGGTTTTTTTCGGGTTAAGTACTATGTAGGTTTTTTTTTTGGGTTAAGAAGGTAGTCTTCCTTAGCTACTTGAATCTATTGACACCCTGACTTCGAGTTGATGTTTGAGAAGTACATACATCCCTTTACTATGTCCAGTAAGTCGTCAATAGGCGGTACAGGTTCTGCATTTTTAATGGTTATGGCATTCGGCCCTCTTAGAGTCGATACATAGTTGTAGCCCGGGATCATACTCCTCGGGATCATACAGAATGTGTGCAATTTATGACGTTCTAGGCTCGACCACCCTTTGTCTTTCGTCTGACTGTTTCCGACTCTTCTAATTCTCTGGGTACCATCCAGTAGATTGGGCCCTTTGGGGTCTTGCCACCAGGAGGTTCTATCTCTATATGATGCTTGATCTTTCGTTTTGCAATCCTTTTGGGCTCTTGTGAATCCAGGAACTATTTCAATGAGGTGCTTTGACCTAGGGTGGTGTCTCATTGATAGTCTTTACGGAGCCGTCTCCAATTGGTTTGAATCTTCTCTCCGGTGTAATGAATGCGACATGAACTCGATCTTCTGTCTGGTTCTATACGGTGTTTCCTAGAGAAGGC